TGGTAATAAGCCGTTCTCAGTTAGATGTCTTAGAATACGCCGTTTAAGGAGGTGCTTGAAGATGTTACTGGGAATCCTGGTTAGGTTGATGGGCCTATAGCTGTAGGCAAGTGTCTATCGCCTTTCTTATAAATAGGGATAACAGTTGCCCTCTTCCACTGTTGTGGAAGGGTTCCTGTGTCCAAGCACGTTTGAACGAGATGGGCATATGTAGCAGCAAACACGTCCGTGGATTCTTTCAGTGAACAGGGGTGGATTTCATCCGGATCCACGGAGCTGAAGGAGTTCACGCGTTTTAGTTGTTCTTCCACTTCTGAGACTGTGATCTAACGGGGATCTGTAGGTTACGGGATGAAGATTGAGATGACTGATTGGAGATGGGATGTTAAAAATTTGGTCGAAATGGGACCGGAACATTTCCGCTCTTTTCTGCAGATGAGGTGGCTGGAGTACCGTTGGGTTTAGACAGGGCAAAGGCGGATGGAGTGTTTTGCCGGGTTCGTCGCATAAATTTGTACAGGACTGACCGGTTTACCCGTGCCCAGGCTAAATTGCCGTTCTGTTGGTTTCTCTAGAACTCCCGGATCCTTGCTATGCATAAATTGCGAATGCGGATGAAGTCATTAACATCTTAAATCAACCCGTCAATTTATACTGAGGAAACGACCGCGATCATTCTTCTAAAAGATGACGGATAGCACGCGGCAAGAGGTGTTTGTTTGGTGAAGATTTACGGATGCGGGGCATCAACAGATGGTCCGCTGTACGGATACACCGCTCTATTGTGCTATTCAAGATGTCTGCGTCGCTCATCTAATTGGCTTGTGGGGTACGGGCTTAGAGGAAATGCCTCAGATTGTTGAAGTTTGTCGTTTTAAAAGAACGAGCCTCCCTAGGACACGGTGTAACGCATCTGAGCCAGCGGACTATGGCATCGAAAGACAACACGATATGATCGCTCTTGCCCAAGGGGCAATGCTGTTTGATTGTGTCTGTGAGGTGACTATCACCGGTTTTGACAAGGTCTACCAATGAGAGAGCTTGCCCGTTTCTGTATCTCGGGCTTTTGGCGTGCTTAGACCAGGACAGCTCTGTGCCCAGGTTGACACACAGCCTTCCAAATGTATTATCCGGGGCGTGGAGTCTGCGCCAATCTATTGCCGGAGCGTTGAAGTCTCCAGTTAGTGATAGAATGATCGCTTGGGGGAGGTGGTCACTCGTATAAAGGATCACACCACCTGCTCGACCTCTCATTGAGTCTCTTCGGATCAATGAGTAACCTGCAAGGGATATTTCGCCATCGCTGTTTTCCGGGGTCAACCAGGTTTTTGTGAGGGCTAAAGCGGGGTTTCTTATCAGCCACTAACTGTTTGACTTCCGGCATCTTGTTCGAGATGCTGAGACAGTTAGTGGAAATACACTTCAGAGCCCACTTAGCAGAGATTTCAGTAGTAACAGGGTCAGAGGAAGGATCTTTGGGAGGGGCTCTAATTTGGGTATCTGGTTTGTAAAAAGTGGGCTGTGGACACGGTCCGGATTGTGGACCATTCTGCGGCGTGATTGCCTTGATCTGTTGAAGAGATCGGGAGGACGAGTAGGATGGAACGCGATGAGAAGAGGGTTTGCGATCCCATACGGGAGTGTGCGAGGTATTCCTGTTGCCAACTGGGATGCGCGTCACGGAAAAGGGAGGATTGTGGTGCTAGTGACCCGGTTGGGAAGAGTGATACGGGGGGTTTGCCGAGTAAACCGTTCCGTTGTGGCTTGGGATTAGAGTCGTCTTGAGGTTAATCTTATTCGTAGCGGGGGTGTGGGGCCTTGGTGTCGAAGCTGTAGGGGGATGCTTAGATCACGCCGCGGATGTCATTGAGGCCCTGGGAGATTGTCGTGCCTTGGGAGGTGAGAAGGATATCGTCGTTTGGTGGTCAATGCGCGAGAGGGGGATCACCGGCAGACAGCGGAGTTTGAGATCGCTAGCACCATGGTTTCTTTTGAGGGCTTTCTTCCGCTCAGTTCGGGTGTCAGGTCAGGTCAGGTTTCTAGAACGAAAACAGGCTTTCGCCTAACGTGCGTCCAGATTCATACACCAGTAGGATTTGGGACTTCCTCTGGTGCTACGACGTGAATATTTTTGGGTGTGCAGTGGCTTGTCTGGGGAAACTCCCCGGACAAGGTTGCATGCCCTTTTCAGGGTCTCGGTTTGGGCGAGAGCGTCTGCTACCATTGATTCCGAGTTGAAGGTGATAAGGATGCTCACCTTCGTCTTCTTAGCTTTGGACATCAGCCACGACGCTCCGATTGGTTTGTGTAGGGATGGAGCTGTAAGGCTTCTCAAGAGAGTTTCGGTTGCCTGAAGCGGAGAATTGAACTTGGGGAAACTACCCCAAATTTTAGTCCGTTTTGCGCTAATGGCCGCTGATTCTAGTTTGGCTGCAGTGTCGAATATCTGTTGTTTCGATAGTGTGATCGCCTGACCCGCGGCATCACATGTTGGGAAGTTATCCTTAAATAACGCCGTCAGGTGACTTATGTCGTTATCTAGTGCCGCGACTTTCCCACGCAGTTCGTGTATAATCGAACCTTGCAGGTCAAGAGCCACTAGAGCCGCTTCTAGCGCTGTTTCAGTGCTGGCCCAGTTGCTGGTTTCAGACACCTCATTTGACATGGGAATTTCCCGCGTGGGTAGAGAGTCCTCGTCGGAGCACTCAGAGGGCTCAGAATACATGGTTGAAGAATACTGGTACTAGTAAAATATAAATCGCAATGGAATAAGATGGAATAGATTCAGTCTAGGGTGGCCATAATTAAGGATATATGCAACGATGTACAGAAAATCACTTATAAAACGGAAAAATGCGAGCTTATCGATCCACGACAGATTTTCAACCGCACTTTACCTCGGTATCCGCCAATTCCGCCATCTCCTTGGATGACGAGACTTCACGGTCTTCATCGAACACTCACGCCATTAAGTCTACCACCCACAGACACTCCACGAGAGTCACGACACCTTGATTACATCACGCAATATACGTGCGATGTACGACCTATCTCCGGTGCTGACAACTCCGTCGCAGATGCCCTCTCACTCGTCTATAACTGGGGCAACCTTTACCCAGAAGCCATGGGCTTACAGGACATAGCCACAGCGCAAACCATCGACACCGATATCGAGCGACTTCGCAAGCGATCCACGTTTCGCATTGAAAATCTACCACTTCCGTCTTCAGACAACAGTCTTTTGCGACGTCTTTCTGGGTCACTCTAGGCCAGTAGTTTCATCGACCTTACGCAAAAAGATTTTTCAGACACTGCATAATTTATCACACTCAGGCATCCGTGCCTCAGTGAAACTCATCACTGATCGTTTCGTTGGACACAACAACCCATAGGACATCCGCCAATGGACACGTCATTGCTTGTCCTGCCAACGTAACAAAATTATTTCGTCACATAAAGGGCCCACTAGGTTTGTTCTCCAACGTCAACGAAAGTTTCCATCACGTCCGCGTAGAATTAGTGGGAACCCTGCCGCTATCGAAAGGGTGTATCTATATACTCACCTCTAGAGATCGTTTCTGTTGTGTTTGGTCTAGGCGTACGAATGATACGAGCGACTCTTGCTTAATCCCAAACGACAACGCGGAAAGAGACACAGTCAGCGTGTATTCTTCGATAAGTTATCGATACGCAAAACATGTGGACTAATCGTGCATTCGAGAACGGCGCAGTGACGCACCAATCAGATTGTCTTTGACAAATCGATTGATCGATTGGAAAAAACATTGGTTGACACGTTCTGTGATCATCCAATCAGGTTCAGCCTGTCTGGAGCGTTGAGAGCGTGCGTATGGCCTGACTCGGAGGCGTGCGTGATCGGACGGGTTGCTTAGGCTTCGTCCTAACAGTTTCACCCGGTGGCCGGTAGCTATGCCTTTGTCTTTCGCATCCGGGGAAACAGCGGCACAGGCCTTCGTAGAGGGTTGTATAACTAACTTCGGTTGTCCGGCAGTAATTACAACCGAAGGAGGTTCTCATTTTGAGGGTGTTTTTGCACAACTACTTAAGCACCTACGCATTCGCCGCGTCCAGACTACCGCTTACCATCCGGCAGCCAACGGGATGTTTGAGAGTTTCCATCGACAACTGAAAAGTGCTCTGGCAGCACAGGTGAGCCCATAATCCTCTCAGGTTGCAGATTAGCCTTCAAAACTGACCTGCAGTCCACACCGGCAGAGTTGACTTTCGGTCGTACCTTGAGTCTCCCACGACAAATGGTGACACCGACCCCACCAACCGACTTTAACTACGGTGACTATGCAGCTCGTTTAGTACATCGTACGCGACAGTTGCATATTCAGTCACCCCGCCAGGAAACACCCCCAGCCTACCTCCGCTCTAGCTTAGCCGAAATCTCGATTGTCTTCCTCAGGGCAGGGGTTCGCGCACCACTGCAACCTCAATACAGCGGCCCACATAAGGTATTGCTACACCTGAAGAAAGCCTACGTACTAGAGCGCAACGGTAAACGTGAGACCGTCAGTATTGACCGACTCAAACCTGCGCACCCGGAGGAAACCGTTCCTTGCACTATTCGCCCCCACTCGTTGTGCCACCCAAAACTCCCTGTCCCAACAAGTCCTGCTCCCTCCACCCCGCTTAATCCCACGACACGCTTGGAGCAGGTACCTGATCCCGACTCATCCCATCAGATCACTAGTCGCGGGAAAGTCCTTAAGTTACCTATACGTTTTGCATTGCAACACGTTTATACACTTGACAACGTAAAAACACATTTAGTCTGCGATATCGATAATTTTGCTTTCATCTGATTATTCATATACGCATGCAAAAACCAGAAACCAAAAATTCTTTTGTCATCGCTTTTATTTTTTCCACCATGTTTTACGTTGTTTTCTCTCTATGCATAAATACATATAAAAAACGAAAAAAACCTTGCCTTTTTGCTATTGTGTTTGTCTTCGCCTCACCAATGAGCTCCAACAAGGGCTGTTTCGAACTTTCTTCCGTTCTCTTCCAGGCTCGGTATCCAAAAACTCGGGAGAAAATCCTCGGTTGAGAAAATGCAGAGACCTCAAAACTCGTGAAGGAAACTTCGACCAGGAGAACGCAGCAAGAAAAAAGATTGACACCGTTACCACCCCTCCAGCACAAAATGTGTATCAAAGACCTATTTCTTACAGCCCTGTCAGTTTTTTACTGGCTGGTGCCCAGCTGCGACGGTCCTCCTATCTTCTCTAAAGACAAACGAAAACGGGGCAAGTAGCGAAACGACGATGGCCATGCAGACGCTTTTCCATGACATTCTCGTTTCCCCACATTTCGTTTGTGGGCCAGCAACCCCTGGAACTAATTCGGCAGCTGCTTCCCCATATTTCCGTGGCAAAGCCCCAAACAATCATTTTTTCGACTTGNCAGCCTTCTAGGGGGGATTTCTGTAGTGACCATTCCCATTCAATTCTAAATATCCCATCTGAATATCTCATTGTTTTAGCACACCAAGACCACCTCTTTGGTTGGCACATGTTTGCTTTCACTTTCCGCACGCTTGCTCACGCCTCTATATCTCTCTCTCGCTCTGCAGGTCCTTACACTACAAGCCGTCTTCCGTTTCGTGAATCGCCTCGTTCTCTTTGCGCACGAACGTACGTTTGTGACCCATACTTATTAGCTCTGGGTATCGATAACCTAGTGACTACACGTGCAAAAGTCATCTGTGATCTCACAGTGTTACATTTATAAGTCACANGACGGGTCCGATCTTAGATAAGAAAGAAAATTGAGGTTTAAAATAGTTTCTTCATAAACTGAATGGAGATTGACCTGCTAATTGATGCTGCTAATTAACAGTGTTCAAGTCCCAACCCAAACATTTTTATTGAAAAGCGGTACTGTCGATAATTTAGTTTTTAATTCAGAACTGATTAGCTTGGATTATACATGTTTCTCATTTAATTCGCGAATTCGGAGCATATATATGTATATCCAAAAGCATTTCAATTTAATTATCGTTCCGTACTCTTTACATTCAGGCTATTAGGAAACGGAACCTAATAACTTAAAATTCCGTTCATCCCGTCGTCGTTAGTGGGCATATACTGTATTCAAATTGTGCGCAGTACGTCTCGAAGTATGGCATCAACGCACCAGTTTTCTGAAGCATAGAAAATCTTTCCGATCTGCTAAAAGCATTTATTTTTCTTGACATCCATAATCTGATTTGATAAATAAAGCATGCATCCCAACACCACATGGCATTCCATTGGAATCCCATTTGCGCGGTAATGCGCGGTGCTCCGAACTTATAGTTATAGTCTATCTATGGGTAAACGTACTTTGTAACCACTTGTATATTGTATAAAAGTTCGTTCATGCAAACAGCAAAAACATATTTCTAAGTAAACCGCAGGGGCTTGAAGTGTTCGAAGACAATTGCTTTTTTTCGATAATTTTAGATGTCATTCATGCATCAGAGATTCTTAATACGTCTTGTTTTTAAGATAAACAAAGGTTGTCTAGCTATACATTATCACGTGCAAACATATCGGAAGCGAGAGAGGGGTGAAAGTTCTCGCACGGATAGATGCAGTAGCTAGAATTCGTGCAAAAAAATGTCACAGTGCTTTGGTAGTGAGATAAAAATGTGAACATACAGTAAGATTGTAGGGGAAAGGTGGTTCCCGGCGAATGTCGGATGTTATCCCAATTTCACCGTATAATCGGTCACACTGCAAAAGTAAAGCTTCAGCTTTTGCTTCGATTGTTCCATCTACTGTTTTTCATTTTAACTGTTTAACCTTTTTCACACTTTACACATTCTCTGTTCCAGTTGTTTTAAATAACAACAATAAATTTGTTGTGATGTTGGCACCAGGCTTGTCCGCAAGCCGATTTGAAGTATTCTCAGACAGAAGGTTACGTTGAAAGTTTGTATTGCCTTCCTATTACAAGATGCATTGTAAGATGTATTATAAAGTGGAATGCCACCAAATCAAAGACCCCTCACCCTCACGGCCCCTATTAGCAACAAAAATCGGCGCATGAAAATGCATGGTTAGCGGTTGTAAAAACTGAACTATCATTCCTGTGTGACCTCACCTTAAACCCCTTTCTTTGCCATCATGACGAGATTGCACCTTGACGTGGTGTGATAGCTTGCGTGCATCCACGATCATGTGAGCTACACAGGATGGCTTTTTACAGCCGCAGATCCAATCGTGCCCGAAAGGTCAACGGGTAGAGGACAGACAACGCACATTCTCACAAAGCCAGCTGCTTGGGCACCTGGCTTCTTTCCATCTACGCCCGCCCTTTGGAGAGGTCGCTCCAGCAAACAAAAGGTGAGAGGCAGTTTACTGGTCAAAAAACCCCGTTAGGTGGATGTGCGAGCGGGATACCTACGGCTTCCTCTCGACAGTGATAGAAGTCTTCGTACTTCATTGTACAGCTATCGTCGGCCCAAGCTGGCTAGCCCCCAGCCCATAAGGTGCTGTCACGTCCACGTTTCGCCTGTTTCATTGGGTGCGTGAAACTAAGGGACCGATAATTCATGCACACGCTAACAACACAATTAATCGAAATTCGAAGGTCTTGCTTGACAGGTCTCTAGAAGCTCCCACACGGGTGCTTCGTTCACGCTCCCGCGTTGGATTTAGGCCCCACTGCTTTCTGGGTCAGACTTTTGAGTCAAAGGCTTCGGTTAGG